CTCCTCCTCCTCCTCCTCCTCCTCCTCCTCCTCCTCCTCCTCCTCTTCCTCCTCCTCTCCTTCTTCTATTCCGTACCTTCATCTCCCTCTCGCTTTCCTCATCTCCCTCTTCCTCCTCCACCTCCTCCTCCTCCTCCTCTTTTCCCTTCCTTCACCTACTTCCACCAGCCATATCCTACACACTAACTAGCCTTCCTCTCTCTCTCTCTCTCTCTCTCTCTCTCTCTCTCTCTCTCTCTCTCTCTCTCTCTCTCTCTCTCTCTCTCTCTCTCTCTCTCTCTCTCTCTCTCTCTCTCTCCCTCTCTCTCTCTCTCTCTCTCTCTCTCTCTCTCTCTCTCTCTCTCTCTCTCTCTCTCTCTCCCCCCTTTATTCCCATTCCCTTATCTCCTCTCTTTCATCACACGATTCCTCCTCCACCCACGATTTCTCAAAGGCGAGGCGGGCGGGCGGGCGTGCGGGCGTGCGGGCGGACCAGCCATTAAACTCCATTCATTACGGTGTAACGATGTTCTCTCTCTGTACATAATGACTGCGATATTCTGTACACCCGGGGAATAATTAGGACTTGGCACGGTGGAGGGGGAGGTGGGGGGGTGGAGGGGTTGGAGGGGGAGGGGTTGGAGGGGGGGTGGAGGGGGAGGGGGTGAAGGTGGAGGGGTTGGAGGGGGAGGGGTTGGAGGGAGAGGGGGAGGTGGAAGGGGGAGGGGGTGGAGGGGGGGGTTGGAGGGGGGGGTTGGAGGGGGAGGTGGAGGGGTGGAGGGGGAGGGGTTGGAGGGGGAGGGGGAGGAGGAGGTGGAGGTGTGTGTGTTTGTGTATGTGTGTGTGTGTATATATATATATATACATACGTATGTATGTATACTTATATATACATATACATAAACGTATATATATATATATATATATATATATATATATATATATATATATATATATATATATATATATTGATGTGTGTGTGTGTGTGTGTGTGTGTGTGTGTGTGTGTGTGTGTGTGTGTGAATGTATAAATATATATAGATATTCATATACATGTATATATATATATATATATATATATATATATATATATATATATATATATATATATATATATATATATATATATATATATGTGTATGTATATATATATATATATATATATATATATATATATATATATATATATATATATATATATACATATATATATATATATATATATATATATATATATATATATATATATATATATATATATACATATATATATGTATGTATGTATGCATATATGCATATATATATATATATATATATATATATATATATATATATATATATATATATATATATATATATATATATATATATATATATATACATATATATAAGTTTATATTTATATATATGTATTAGATCTATCAATCAATCAATCAATCTATCTACCTATCTAAATATGTATATATATACCCAGGCAGGCAGACCGACAAGCATCCAGAATCGTAAAGAGAAAAACAAAGATCCAGACAAACAGACCAACTACCACCTCTACCCGTCTTCCTTCCCCCTTTCCTCCCCTTCCTCCTCTTCCCCCCTACCCCACCCCACTCCCCCACAAAAAAAAGTTTATCATGCACCACTTATTTACATTCTTTTTCCTTTCCTTTTTTTTCTGTTTTTTTTTCTCTCTCTTTTTTTTAAGTGAGGCGTAAATTTTACCTGAAGAGGAAGTCGATTTTCCAATATCGGCGTCGAGTCATTGTGGTGACGTCGCCAGCGAAGAGATTAACAACAAGGGTGATGTGTTATTTGGGGGAGAGAGGAAGGAGGGGAGGAAAGAGGAGGAAGAAGGAGGAAGGAGGGGAAGGAAAGAGAGAGTAAGAGAGGGAGAGGGAGAGAGGCAGGGAGAGGGAGAGGCAGGGAAAGGGAGAGGGAGAGAGGCAGAGAGAGGGAGAGGCAGGGAGAGGGAGAGGGAGGGAGAGGGAGGGAGGGAGGGAGATGAAGGGAGAGGGAGAGAGAGCGAGAGGGATATGGAGGGAGGGAGGGAAGGAAAGAGAGAGTGGGAGAGGGAGAGGGAGAGAGGGAGGGAAGGAAGGAGAGGAAAGAGGAAAGGAGGAAAGGAAAAACAGAGAGAGAGGATGGGGTAGGACAGGGGAGGAAATAGGGAGAGGGAGGAAGCGGAAGGAAAAAGGGAGAGAAAGAAAAGGGGGGAGGAAGGGAGGGAGAGGGAGACGGGAAAAGGTAAAAGGGAGGGAGAGGAGGAGGGAGAAAATAGGAAGAATGAAGAGAGAGAGAAGGAAAAGAAAGAGAGATAGAAAAATAGAGAAAGAGAGAGAGAGAGAGAGAGAGAGAGAGAGAGAGAGAGAGAGAGAGAGAGAGAGAGAGAGAGAGAGAGAGAGAGAAGAGAGAGAGAAAGAGAGAGAGAAGAGAGAGAGAGAGAGAGAGAGAGAGAGAGAGAGAGAGAGAGAGAGAGAGAGAGAGAAGAGAGAGAGAGAGAGAGAGAGAGAGAGAGAGAGAGAGA